CCCCCCAAATTTAAAAAAAAAAAGAATTAGTTAAAATTAAAATTACAAATTTAAAGAAATCGTGAAGCAAAGAAGACAAATCACCATCATTTTAATACTCACCACAGTCTTTGAAGGGTACATTGTCGGCCAAAGTGGCCACACACGCCACAGCAAGAAACACAAAAACTGGTGACATCATCCTGAACTGTTCGACAACTTGCTCCAAGATAGGGACAAAACGTAACTTGTGATTTCTCTACACACACTAGGGCGCGCCACTACCTTTTATACCAATGAGACGGCGGGCTGTTATCTGCTAAATTGAGCCCACTGAACTTTCTTCTTGATGTCCACGTCAAACTTGATTTTTTTCATTCCGAATGCATTAAAGAGTAGATCTATAATATTATATTGTGCAGGTGACCGAGCTATTAGATAGTTACTGTTATCTGTGTGCGCTGTTCAATTGTCTACTAGGGCTAAAGGGGGTCTCGCTCACACTTCCGAACGCAATGCGTAACAGTGAAGGTGCTCTCTCTCTCTCTCTCTCTCTCTCTCTCTCTCTCTCTCTCTCTCTCTCTCTCTCTCTCGCTCTCTCTCTCTCTCTAATTGTATATTCAAGAGTTTTGTCGATAGTTAATCGACATCCCCCACCTACCCACTTCTTGTCATCATTGACAATGCTGTATTTTGTTCTAGTTGTCCGTCTCTCTAACCCACACCAGCAGTTTATCTTTTCGGTTTTTACATTGTTTCTCTTTATTCCCCAGACCAAGAGGAGCAGTTTGGAAGCTCGTCACAAGTTTATGAGGACAGACAGCTCTAACATGACGACCATGTCAACGCCTCCCTCGTGCAAAGAGCTCATTACTTAGAAAAAAACGTTCCCTACCCCGGTTTTTGCCTCAGCGAGTCCAGATGACCCAATTTGTCCTTCTTTCTTCTCCATTCGTTCCTTTCTGCTTGACTGGTGGCCTGTCGGCACGGGATTACGCGTAAGAAGAAGCCAGTAATTGTCTCAATGAGACAGATAGAAATGGCTGTGTGACTGTAACCCGACGTTGGATATCAAATATACCAGCAATGCGAACTCTCAAAACAGAGCAAAAAAATCCGTGTTCAAAGAAGTATGGGTGATTCTTCAACTGACAGTTACTGTGCCAATTTTTCAAAGATCTTGTTTTTATTTGGCGAGTCGGAATTTTAATCTTTCTCGGAAGTCATGCAAAATTCCACCTCTTTCCCAGTGTACAATTTCACCCTGTTTGGCGAGGTACCAGAGTGGACCCGAATAATTTACTTCACCTACCTGTTCCTTGTCTACGCCTTGGGCATTCCTGGCAACCTGATCACGGCTATCATCTATTGGCGCACTCGGCCGAAGTCGGCATGTGACTGGCTGATTCTGTCCATGAGCTTGGCTGATTTATTTGTGTGTTTCTGGGTACCATGGCTGTATTTCCGTACCGAGTATCCCCTGGAGATCTCCTTCATGTCCAGTTCTATATGCGGCCTGGAGACATCTCTCCAGCTCAGCGCCATGATGGCGTCACTGGGAATGCTCGACGTCATTGCTCTCGACCGGTATGTGAAAATCTGCCACACCCGGCTCAAGTCTCTCACTCCGACCGCCTCGAGGAATCTGTGCATTTTCCTTATCCTCCTGGCAGTGGCCCTCTCCGTGGCGCCCGGTCGAGACGCCGAGATGAACATGAACGCTTCGTGTCGCATCTACCACGACTGGGGCTTCACGTCGCACATGCGAGGCTACTATACCATGTTCTTCACCTTTTACGCCCTCAGCTTCTGCATCATCAGCTTCACCTACGGCAACATCATCATCACGATCGGCCGGAAGGTAAGGAGGAAACAAAGACTCATCCAGAACGACGGTCTACGCTCTCAGGACCCGGCCACTGCTGCCAACGGAAACTGTGACACCAGGGAGGCTGTTGAGAACGAGACGTGTGGTCAGGTCAACGACCCCGGTAGTCGGAGCCGATGGAAGGGCGCATGTTGTAGATTGTTCAGTGCCAAGGCCAAGGCCAAGACCAAGGCCGAATCTGTGTACGCAGAAGAGCAGGGAGAGCCAGAATACGAGATGCGTCTCCAACACGAAAAACGAATTCAAAATCCGGAGGGAAATCAAAGTGAGGCAATAGTTGATTTACACAGGGGTGGTCACACAGATGTAGAAACCAGCGAGAACTGCAAACTGCTGCCAGTCCCCAAACCAGGCGCTCCATCCTGTCAAATTCTGCCAAAGAACGCTGGAAAGGGAGATAACTTGGTCAGTAATTGCTACCATCCTCAAGACTATTTACCATGTACAACGAATGAGATTAGAGGAGATACAGCAGAATATCTGATAAAACATTCAAATTCAGACATACAAGATAATGTCTCCCCTGATGTCCCCCGAGAGCCGGATTGGGATACCCACAGCCACATCCTACAGAGGATTGCCGAGCCTGTGGGGAATACTGATGGACACGAAAACTGCCTTACATCGAAACCACCAGCAGACAATGGTGTTTACGAAAGGGCTGTGTTGGATTTGCATGCTAACTCTCATGATAATTACCAACAACCTAATGATTACAATGCTCCAGGTACCGATACTGAAAGACACGACCAGATAGACTTATGTAATGAAAACGAGGCAGCAGTGTTATTGTGTGGTTACAATAGATTAGAATCTCCACAGAATCATGTCAACGTCTGTGGTGTCACCAGCGATGATTCTATTGATGTTTTGGGGGAAGGAGACGACAAACATTTGATCAAAGAGTCGAGGAAACTCGGACAAGTAGATCGAGAGGATCAAAATAAAAGTGGCAAGCTTGTTGAGTCGCACGGTAGATCTAACAGCGGGTCATGTTCTATGGCAAATTCGGAACCAGGTTCTGAAAGCGCGCCACCCAAGTCAAGTAATGAAATCTTTTTGTATTTGGGGGATGGTTTAGAGTCGGGTGAGACTGGACAACTTTCACAAGATGAGAAGGTAAAAGATGTTGGCGTTGTTGTGGACAGCACTAGAGACAAGGAGACAATCTGTGACACGGGAGTCTCTCTCAATAAAAATGGCATTTTGCTGACAGAAGCTATACTTGTTCCTGATTCGAAGATTCCTAGAAGACAAACGAGTGTTATGTTCAAACTTGATGATTCGAATCAGGAAAGCTCCGATAATGAATACCATTCCAATACAGCAGCACAACAACATTCAAATCACAACGACGACAAAAGTACTGGAGATTCTTTGAGAACACATGGCTCAACTGTTTTATCAGCTCAACAAAGCGTTGACACTCAGCAAACTTCCCAGTTACTGGAAGAGACAAACAAAGCATCTCAGACGCCTCCCTCAAATGTCTCAAAGACAGACGGCAGTTCTGCCAAGAAACTCTCCAAATCGTCCAAGAAAGGTAACAGACAGGGCAATAGCTTGGTAAAAGTCCTGAGCCATCATCTCAGCGATCGAGAGACCAGCAGCAGCTACGTGGAGGACGATGATGTCTCCGCCAGTAATCTGCACCGGTTCTTCAATCTGAGAAAACTCCGAGGCTTCACTGGATCCGGAAACTCAAACCGGTCCTCCAAGTCGACTGCTTCTCGGAATCGCTTCCGGCGAGAGAAACACGTACGATGTGCAATTATAGTTATATTGTTGTTTTCTATTCTTCAGTATTTCCGATGATGATATTTGAATATTGTTTATTATGATGTCATGAAAAAGGTACGATTGGTGTTTGCACATAACATATATTATAGCCATATTGTGTGCGTGTGTGCGTGCCTGCGTATGTGTGTGTGGGGGCGCGTGTGAGTGTTTGTGGGAGAGACTGTCAGAGAGAGAGAAAGAGAGAGAGACAGACAGACAGACAGACAAACAACAGACAGACAGACA